TTAGGTATGTCATTAAAATATTCCTTATATTTATATGGTAGGGAATTTATCTACCTTTCTAGTCATATATAACACATTCCATATAATTTTCACAGAAGTGAATATTGTTCTACAAGATCAACTACACTAAAGCAAGTAAAAATCATCTTTTCGTATTCTAAAGTTTTTCTATAGATAAAGCTATAAACAAAATGCTCCCAGCAGTGTTTTGAAAAAGCTTTAAATTCTTATTCTTTCTTCTTTAAATTTTTATTTTTAAAGAATGACTATGAAGCAGCCGAGAAAAACTTATTTTCTTTGTAAATCTAAATTGAAATTAGCTTGAATAAACCTAGAACTTCTTGGAAATGGTTTGTTTTGTGAGTTATTTTGTATATTTAAGCTTTCTATAAATATTTAAAACCGAAAATCGATAACTGTATTCTTTTTAAGTTTATTTTTTATATATAAATATTTAAAATTTAGCAAGCGCATTACTTTTATGACAGGTTTTACATCACTTTTCACAGTGTATTTAAAGTCGCGCATCAATTCGCGCTTTCTAACCGATTAAACATTGCGCGAAAAAGTCAGAAATATTATATCTAATTTCGCCATGGTTGGGGCCATTCAATAAGGCATACCTCAAGGGAGTGCATTAGGACCAACCTTATTCCTGATATACATAAATGACTTATGTAACTTAAGGACGGAGAAGTGCCGGGTGTTCTCATACGCTGATGACACAGTTCTGGTTTTTTCGGGTGCCTCATGGGACGAGGTACGTGAAGTGACTTAGAGAGGGCTTGCCGGACTCGATGATTGGCTTGAGACAAACCTTCTCACATTAAACGCCTATAAAACCAATTACATATGCTTCTCGATGTACAGTAGTACTCAACCAAGCAACGAATTTGAGCTAAAAGTTCGTAGATGCGGAAGAGAACCATGGCGCAAAATTGTGACTGTCCATATATTGTTAAGGTATCCTCCGCTAAATATCTGGGTGTTATAATAGACCAACGTAAAAACGTTGGTCTATTAGGAAAACCTGGTACGCGCAGATTGAGCAAGTAGCTAATAGAATCCGGAAATTAACATGGATGTTTAAAATTCTTTGACATATAGGAACAAAAGAGTTAATAATTAAAATCTATCTCACTCTGGCTCAGTCTGTAATCACTTACTCTATTTCTGTGTGGGGAGGGGTAGCAAAGACAAAATTTATAGAAATTGAACGGGCTCAGCGGTTTTTATTGAAAGTAATGCTCTTTAAATGCTACAGGTTCCCAACTGATCAACTATACTCGATTAGTAAGCTTCTTTCTGTCAGAAAACTGTACATAGCACAGACTATTATAAAAGTACATAAACATCTTCCATACGATCCTAACAACGTAGACAGAAAAGACAATAATAATAATACCTTGTTGTCCCCTGACATATTGTAAAAACAATATTTGCCAGTCGTCAACTTAAAAAGCAATCAACTCATTTATATAACCGTATGAATAAAATCTTAAATATCTATCACATGAACTTACATGACTGTAAAAAATCTATAGTTCAATGGCTACATAAGTTAAATTATGAAGAGACTGAGGCTCTAATGAAGGTTACTAATTAAGTTATAAAGTAAATACTTTTATACATTACACTTGCCTATATACCTTGGTGTATACAACATATTCTAACTTATTCTGGGTTTTAACATACGACACGCACAGCTCACTGATACTTATTCACACAAACACCCATACCCACGGAGAAACATACACACGAACACACACGCACACTCACACACACACACTATTACTATTATTTTACTTTGCTTTACAGTAATTACGTACTAGTTATAGAGGAGCGAGAGCTCCTGATACAAGTGTTTTCATACTTAAAACAAGGTCTCAACGTTGTATGCAATTTTGTTAATATTGAGACGAAATAAAGTATTTCTTTTATATAACTATTCTGCCAAATCGTTACGGTGACAACTGCGCTCCGATTGGCCAGCCCGAATTCGAAACAATTGACAAGTGTCGTCAGTTGTTTCACTTCAAATCGATTAGTTTAACTTGAGCTTTGATATAATGGACGAAAATTCAAAAATGACATATTTAATACTTAATTACAGATGAAATGTAATTCCGTCCGTTTTGTAATTAGATGTTTTACTGTATTTCCTACACCACCGAACGGTGGTGGTTATTGTTAGAGATATTATATTGTTTTAATATTTAATAAAGATTAAAACAAATACAGAACATTTTTGGAATATACGGAGACGTACACACAGGTTAGTTGTTGGCGCTGAACTATATATTTTAGCTTTCTAATTTGTGATTTCAGCGCAAACGAGAGTTGATATTTAAAAGTGTGATATAAGGCCCATTTGCCTGAAGAGTTGCCAGGGATGGATGGCCCTCATTTCGTCTCTATTTCTGGTTATATACTCGATGTGCTCAGTAATACCTTTATGTACGTACATAAAAGGCGATGGAAAAGGTAATTACGATATGTTTAGTCAAATATATATAAGTAAAGAAAAAATAAATCTACATACATAAATATACACGTATACGTATATGTTTATCAATAGACCATCATAGAAATTTCAATTCATGCTGATGATCATGTTTTACGAAGTATTATCTGGCGAGACAATGGGAATAAGCCCTTACAGTGTTTAATGTGCTATTACGCTACACTCCTAGACCGTTCGAAACGTCTAATGTACACAAATGCATAATGCATAATAATTACAATAAATGATTAATTCTAAGAAAATCCAATGATGAACGAAATCATATAATCATGTTGCGGGCAATAGACGAGTGTGACTAGCACAGGATCGTGGTGGATGGCACAAATTACGGGACGCGTATACTCAGCAGTGGGTGAAGTCGAGCTGTGGATGTTGATGATGAAATAAAATATTTTGCAAAACGTATGTAGCGTAAATTAAATGATTCTCGGTAAATGGTAAAGGTGCGTAATTTCATTATTAACAATGTAACTATAATGAATAATCTCAGTACAGAGTACTAAAAAAACCGACCTCAAAAGTGTGTGGAATTACGTCTATTTGCTAAGTTTCATTGAAATATCCCCTAGTTCGCCACTATACAGGACTTGATACTGGAGATAATAAAAATAGGTTCTCACTACGACACTACTCAAAGTATATCGAGAGAAAAACGCCTTGAATTGGAGAAATAGCAGAATCAACTTGCTACATGCTAAAAGTAATTGCTCCTAAATTAAAGTTAGGCGCTATTTATAACAATGAATCTTCATGCGTGAACAGCCATCTTTTGAGGTGGATGATTTTCTTCAAAATGAAATGGGACCACTATGGAAATACCCCCTTTCCAACAAAAAAGAATCATGAAAATCGGTTCACAAATACCGGAGTTATCGCGTAATATACATACAAAAAAAAAACAAAAAAAAAAGAACACACAGTCGAATTGAGAACCTCCTCCTTTTTTGAAGTCGGTTAAAAATAGAGTGGTTTGCATTAATATTACACATACGAGGGCCTGTAAATGGCCCGAAATGTTGGTTAATTTGAAAAAAGAAAACAAACATACGCGATTTAAAGAAATTTTGACTTTCTTTATCGCTTCGAGTTTCTATGTATATTGCTTTAATTTCAAAATAAATCCAGTTTGGTATTTTTGTTTTGAGAGTGAATTGGCGACTAGTTTATTAATGTGTAAAATACAGGTAGTAGCAATAGAGCCCGTTTTTAAAGAGTTTATCCAGGGAAGTACTGCCACCTTACCTATTTCTGCCGCCAAGCAGTAATGTCAGCATTACTGTGTTTCGGTTTTGAAGGGTAAGGGTGCTGGTGAAATTACAGACACGTGAGACTTGTCAACTTATGTCTCAGGGTGACGGGCGCAGTGGTAGTACCCCTCAGATTTTTGCAATTTAAAGCTCTGTGCGGCATTGTAACTGTTATGGACAGGCGCGTAGTTTACCATCAGGCGCACGACTTGTTCGTCCCGACACTTAATGTTATAAAAAAAATATATGTTCAGATCCTGACCCCGGATCAGCCCGTGTACAGAGAGGGTTGTCAGTTGTTACGGACTTCATCCGGTTCTCAAGAGGCTAGTGCCTCGGGTGTGTGGCCCGGGGTGCACGTACAGTGCCCTCCCTATTTTTCAGATATGTACCGGAGCTATTGGCACGGTGGCTGTGTGACGTATAGACGGGTTGATCACGCCATGCATACGGTCTGGCCACACCCAAAATTGTATCAACAATAGTCTATGATGAAAATCAGTAATGTCAGCACTACTGTGTTCCGGTTGGTGAAATTACAGGCAGATCTTTGCGATGTAAAGCTCTGAGTGGCTCTGCAACTGTTATGGACAGGTATGTAGCTTACCATCAGGCGCACGACTTGTTCGTCCCGTCACTTAATATTATAAAAAAAACAAGGAATTTCTTTTTGCGCACCGAAGCCATTCTTTGTTATTACTTTGCAAAAAATTCCGACTGTGAAAAATGTGACAGTTTTTTTTTCTATTTATTGTACTCTATAGTCACACTCTAGTTTAATTTTAAGTGTGTAGTAAAACATGGTGTAAGGCCACATAAAGATATATACAAATATATATATATTTAAATATCTGATTCGCACTTGAAAATTTTAACGGTTACTGTATTTTTGTAGCATTAAAAGTAGATAGTCGAGCGGCAGGAACACTGGCATTAGTTCAGAATTTATTTTTGTACAAATGGAATTAAAGCCATTTGAAAAATGTATATCGTTATACGTGTACTATTTAATTCATTTGATATAAAAGCAATCATTGGTATATATTAAGTACCTATTGAATACAGCGGTTTTCTTGTAGGTAAGATAAGGTAAGTTTGTGTTCTTTTTTTATCGTAAAAATATTTAGGAATCTTGTTTTGACTCCATATAATAATTAGTACGTTTTCTCAATTTTACTGTATATTTTTTCCAAAGTCATTGGATTCAACACTTCCACTGTTATGCGGAATCAACTATTCCATTTGAGGTTGTATAGACTATAGGCTCTTAATTAATAAAACGTTTTTATAAGTTAACGCACACTGGTAGTTCTTATGTTACTTTTCTAAAACAAATCTAATAGAACGGATATTCAGGTTTGAAGTTAGCTCCAAGACATTCAAGGGACTTAAAAATCTTATTTCGGATTAGAGAGTCAACCACACTTATCGATGCGCATTAAATCGGTCAGAAAAATGTTTATCCACGTCGGCGATCCAGACGGCTCTTTCGCTCTTATTGTATGGACTTATAGGTTTTTCTGACCAGCTTAATAAGTAAAGATAAGTGTGATGACTCCCTTAGGGACTTACGTTGCGATACCTAGACACGGAATCGCTTCAATCCTGAAATTCAATTAAACTTTATTTCATATGTAAACTAATTACATTTCAAATCGTCGCATTCCCTGAAAAGAATGAGTAAGAAACTCTAGGGTTGCCCTTTACAAAATAAAGATTTGTATACATTTATCAGTCTTGATTAATTTCCCAATTAACTAAAAATATTAATTGCGAGGTTTTAATGCTGATTCTAATGTACATTTAAAAACTAGTCAATGAAGACAATAAAGAGGAATAAAGATGTTGAGAATTGTATTTAGTAGGCGCAAAATAGGCGCCTTGTCGTCGAGTGGCGGACACCAGCCCGTTACACCAAGTACCAAGTACCAAGTTGTATTTAGTACAAGTGGGATAAATATTGTTGTTACACTTTGGACAACACTACACAATACCTAAATAAAATAAAAGAACGTAATAACTATACACATATTGACACGTTAGGGGGTAGTCTAAACTCTAAAGACGTGCTAAAATGAACAAAACCTTGTTTAGCAAGAAATTATATGTTCAATTGGCAGCTCAAGTGTTGTAAATTACATAGATATGTAGCGGACCCGCTCACAGCAAGACATTACCCTTCTTCTGACGCAG